CAATTTCGTGCCCGCGCGTTCCCTCCAGCAAGCTGTCGGGAATTATCGCGCTCAGCACTCAACAGCCAAGGTATTATTATATTATAACTATTTCAGGGAATTATATGCACTTAAACCCGTCGACACTGAGAGCTGATAATTTGCAGATTTGTCCCGCAAGGAACCGAAGGTATTATCATCACATACTGCGAGTCACCTCAGACTGGCTGGCGGCAAGTTTCAAAACAAATAACAGTGGCGCACTATTATATATTACACACTATATTGTATCATGCGCACGTATCACATTACACATCTTACACGAGCCCCCGTCAATAGTTATAACAAGGGGGGGGGGGGTAATTTTTTTTTTGTTTTGTTTAGGTAAAAGTAGTTACCTAAACAAAAAACCAACAAATAATACCTTCGCTTCTTCGGGCCGCAAATTTCCTCCAGCAAGCCCTCAAAAGCAAAGGTATTATTGTATTATAATTAATTTCCTAATTCAAAAATATAATTTACACCGAAAGTTTTTACGTTGACGTTGAGCCCAATAAGATGCACATTTGAATTAAGTTAAGCTTTATATTATTATCTATTTTACTATATATTATTATTTATTGCAGATGTTCAGGTAATTAAACCTACTAAACTAGTTAGTTTGGATCCTGTATATCTTGATAGAATTAGTTAATTACTGGTCTGGTATCTCTTTGAATTATAATCTTAAGTCTCGTCAAATAACGTAGTGTTATAAAGATAAAATATTCTGGTAACTCCATATAATGACGTTTAATAGCTCGGAAGTAAAAATAGAAATCCTCGAAGATGAAGACAATATTATAACTCGATTGTTTAGTTTGTAGTCCGTGCTAATGGATAGCCGCGAGTGTTAATTGAATTGCTGACTCCTCAATGTTGATCTATCTCTAAGAATATTGAGTTTTCCTTGTCCGGGGAGAGGATCCTGTTGACCATAATCTGCCAATCCATGTAAGAAGTAGCAACTATCATATCTTGTTCGGGAGCTGTCTTTTTGAACATCCTTCGAGCGTGGTAGACTCTCCAATTATCAGTGATTACAAACTCTCCCGAATTCAATCTTTTTGTGTAGTGCCTACTAGGATCCTCCACTAGTCCTCTGTAGTACGTGTACGCTTCCCAAAACTTCTCTCTGGTTCCCGTGTCCGTGAAACGGGTAAACATGGCCGAATCCAGGTTGAACGGTTGATCAACCGTTTGCCAAATGTCCTTCCCGAGCATATTCACCACACAGTGGTGAGTCATCTGGAATATTCCTGTTCCTGGTGGCGTGTATCTGTAGGTCACTGGAACAGTTTTCAGCACTTCCAGAAGGTCGGATCTTTTCTCTGACATCTCTTTGATCGCTGAGAATGAATCTACCCAGAAACTCTCGCCACCCTCAACAGTGTTCTTCACACAATGGAAAAACTGCACGTGCGGTGTCTGAAAATATGATTGGAAAAGTAATCTTACAGATCTCACAAAATAGCCCGTTTCCTCTTACCGCCGTTTTTATTTATCTCAACCACGAAGCAGAAAAGTTCCACATTAAGGGGACTAATGTTAAAAAATGAGTCAGTAATGTTTGAACATTACTGACTAAAAGATTAGTCTTATCAAGCTGATTACGATTATGTAAAAATTATTTCAAAAAACTGATACTTTTTGAGTTATAGGCATTTTAAGCCTTAAATCTGCCATTTTTTGCCCTTTTTTACGATGAATTTTACTAAGTCGTTTGAGGCCACATTTCATAGCCTAAAACTCAAATCTGAGAGAAATGCTACTCCAAAAAGTTTGATATGATCATCAGCTACACTTACAAGAATTTTTAAAGCGATATCTGCTGACCCGGCCCGGGTGATTGCTAAAATGTACAACTTTAGAAGTAGGCAAAAATTTCAATTTTTCTTTTTTCGACCTTGTTCGGTCTGCAACTTCGTCATTTATTGTTTAATTATATAATCCTTTCAAGGGCCTCTTGTCAGTAATATTCAAAAAATTTTCAAAAACCGTTTAAAATGACTGAAATATCGGTATTACAGTGACAGACTTCTCAAAATTTCCAAAACTTTCGAAAAAGAAAATATTTATTTCTTCGAAAGTGAGTGCTCTCAAAAATAATTTTTATTGTATCAAATCTTATTGTTTTGATGTATACTTTCTTAATATGAAGTTAACTACAGGGCCCCGGCATAAAAGCTTTTTGTACATAATATGTCCCCTTAGTGGTATCTGACATAATAGTATAACAATAATAAGTTCGCCATTTACCAATAACTCGAAAAGTTTGGGGCTTCTTCTATAACGATACCCAAAAATATTCTTGGGCTAGATTTAGTACCTGATAAAAATAAGAGAGGTCAAGGTGAAGTGCAAGTCCCCCGGAGCCATATCCTGAGTTGTTAGGATTTGGCTTGTACTTTACCAGATCCACCGTTTTAAACACAGTCCTCCGCAAAGGACTCATCTTTAGACCCTCCTCTACGACGTCCAACATGCCCTCTTCAGCCGGTATATAAACAAAAGCTCTAAGAAACAGATAGTAAACAAAGTAAACATTTCTGTCCCCTAATCTTTCTCAAACAAAAGTCATGCAATTTGCATACTTCTCCATTTAACTCTATTCTGAGCGATTAAAGTTAAATTGTTTAAATCACATAAATTATTTAACGATAATTTTCGAACACTAAGGTCGTGTAGAATCAGTGAGAAAAGGTTTGACTGCGGTCTTCCACGCCGCCCTTGAAGCTGTAAAGTGTTAACAGCAAAAACAAGCGACGAATAGGCTGGACCATCTGTAGGCCCACGCAGTACATGTCCGAGCATCCTCCACCGACTACGAGCCACTTTAGCTGACAATGGTTCGCTATTGCAGCGTTTATACAAGTTCTTGTTGGAAATGATGTGAGGGTATTTGTAATTCAAAATTGATCGCAGATGACGTCTGTGAGCAATATCTAGTTTTTCCAATACTGATTTAGGAGCAGCCCAGCAAGATGAATTGTACATTAAAACGGATACTACCAGAGCCTCATACAACAGAAGCCTCTTGCTCAGAGGGATCTTATGGTTCCAAGCTTTCTTGTATTTGTTAAACGCGGCATATCCCAGACATATCCTTCTAGAGATGTCCTCCTTACTACAAAGCATGGAGCCAAGCGTGATACTCTTTCTCCAGAGCTCGTTCCCTGCAATTGGCTTACCCTGATCGTCTATAGCTCCCTTTTCAGCTAAGTACACATGAGTGAAATCAGTTTTGTCTTCGTTAACGAAGAGATTCCAATCTTTAAGGACTTCTGTTGCAATAGGCAACAGCTCCCTCAAATTGTCCTCATCTTCATCATTGAAGTCGATATCATCAGCATACTCACTGTCAAGTGGAAGACCGATATCGGTGATAGGTGGGTTAGGCCTATTCATTGCAGTTTCAAGCCTGTTACGGAGGTCACGCAAGGCACCCGCTAAGACAAGTGTGAACAAACATCCAGACAGACAGTCACCTTGGAATGCACCGAGAAAACTCTGGAATTCAGCAGACAGTGTACCGTTGATATTGACTTTGAGCTTGGTGTTGGAAAGCTCAACACCAGCCGGTATACCTTTCAGAAACACTATACCGTATCTCATGTAGTGGGTCAGGAACTCTGTGGTGTTATCAACGTCCTTTATTACCCAGGAGTAGTCCCAAAGCTTGGAAACTTCCGCGTCTGGCTCCCCCCAGAATTTCTGTTCTGTGTTCTTCCTTCTCGTCAGATCTAGCAACTTTTCCATACGAGAGTGTATGGGGTTAGGTCCGTAGTCTCCCCTCATGGTCCGTGCAATTAGTCCCTCATGTCCATCACTCCACTTCAATCCAAGATAATGCTCTGACATTCTACCAATCTCCTCCACTTTGATCCCCGGGAACAAGCTCCCACTTAAAGGTAGATCCAGGCACTGGTGGGCGTGTTTCCCAAAACAGGTTTCACATCGGCACATATGACGGGTCTCGATGTGCAGCAAGTCCCTCCCGTCCAGCTGGATTCCCTTTTCCGTAGACTTGACCGATTTACAGGGCCTACAAGAGTTAGTGCAAGTTTTGCAGTAGTTACGGAACAGTCTTGCCAACGTGGGATAGTGCTGAGATTTCGGTTTCAGCCGTGTCAACCAGGATAACATGTTTCCTAGATCGGGTATGGGAATGAGCTCAAATTATGCATATGCCTCAAAATATGCATTTATCTGGTCTTAAAATCTTTTATGTGAATTAAGATGGTTCTCATTAGCTAAGAAGAAATTTTAATGACATAGCTAATTCTAAACGATTACTTAATAACCCGTCTTATGACATACTCAGTATAAGGAAAAATGAAATAAGATAGAATAAAATAAAACAAAATGAATAAACGGAAAATAAATCCAAGAAATTTAGTGATGCATTGCAACTCGTTTGGGAATTTTATTATGTAAGTTTTTTTTACGTATTACAGGTTATATATTATGAATATCATCATTACCAAAATTGAAAACCAGATTCAAAAGAGTTAAATTCTAAATCATCCATATTTGATAATTCGTCAGTTTTGTTTGAGGTCTTTACTCTTTCTCGATCCTCTAATGCACAATAAAAATAATTTACGCCGGAATTTTTTACGTTGACGTTGAGCCCGATTAGATGCACGTTTGAATTAAGTTACGCTTTATATTATTATTTATTTCATTATTATTTAGTGCAGATGTTCAGGTAATTAAACCTACTAAACTAGTTAGAACTTGTATCCTGTATAGTTAATGACTTGGTTTTGGCTGAGCCTGCTCGAACGTGACTAAATTTATCTGTTCGTTGGGCGACAAATTTTAATATTCTGATCGAATTGACTTTAAAGCCAAAGAATAATACCGGTTTAGATAAGGTCTCATGTTTTCCTTAGTAAGATGCATCAAGCATGTAAGAAGAGTCTAAGATGATAATTATTAGAAATTTAGCTCCAAAATAACATTAAAAATTGTTTCAGATTTTGGAGTATTGCACAGGAACGAGTTATCCGGTGCACTGTCAGGACTGACGCGTGTGAGGCGCTTCCAGCAAGACGACGCGCACATCTTCTGTACAACCGACCAGATTGTTGACGAGATCAGAGGATGTCTTGAATTCATGCAGGCTATATATTCAGTTCTAGGGTAAGGATTACACGTGAATAAAATAGGTATTTTGGTTTCCGTAGTTGCAAACATTGCGCCGAGTTAGAACGTCGGAATTGTATTTCAGAATGATTACAGCTTTGAAAATAGTTTTACGTAACTTTGTATAATGGGGTATAATGTTACTTTTTGCAGCAGATATTTATATTATTACCACACAATATATAAAATAAATATAATAAAATATAAAATAAACTTATGACTATTCTATAATATTATACTATGATAGTATACTATGATTATCGAACTTGACACAAATATAACGTATTTAACAATAAATATTCTAAAGATCTGTTTTATCAGACTTATAAGACCGGTAAAACATGCATATTACAATATTTATATATATTATTTATATATAATATATAATTATCTATTTCACCAAATTTACGTACGCATTTTTTGATGTGATTAAAACTTTTCTTCAAAGAATACTATAAGATTCCTAAGATCTCTGTTGCCACGGGATTTTTAGTATATTATATGTACATTTATTCCTAAATATACCTGTATCATAATATGATATCATTATCAGATTCACGTACGAACTGGAGTTGTCTACCCGGCCGGACAAGTATCTGGGAGAGATAGAGGTTTGGGAGGATGCGGAGAGTAGACTGAAACAGGCTTTGGACGAGTTCGGGGCTCCTTGGAAACTTAACCCCGGTTAGAGACTAAGAGACAGTGGAGACTTGGTTTCCGTAGATTGTAGGGATATAAGATTATAAGTGACAATGGATACTTTGTAAAATGTAGAATTATCAATTGTAACAGTGGAGTTCCCACCTACGAGTGGTGGCTGAGAGGTGGCGCGCCTGAGAGGTGGCGCGGTGTATGCAAAGTATGATAATGTCAGCCGCGCCGTGGACGTGATAATTCAAACGTAATGAAAGCTAATGTCAGCCGCGCCGCAAGGCTGACATTATCATACTCTGCATACACCGCGCCACCTCTCAGGCGCGCCACCACTCGTAGGTGGGAACTCCACTGTTATGGTGTAAAATTTAGGTAATTGTCATCTTGAGAATTTTGATATCCAATTTTCAACATAATATTATGATATTATGAAGCGTCGATGTGGCTGATTTCGGAAATAACTGTTCTCTTTTCAGCTGACGGTGCATTTTACGGCCCCAAGATTGACATTATTGTAAGCGACGCACTACGAAGGGCCCACCAGTGTGCTACCATCAGCTAGACTTCCAGCTCCCTCTAAGGTAAGGGCCCACCAGTGTGCTACCATTCAGCTAGACTTCCAGCTCCCTCTAAGGTAAGAGCCCACCAGTGTGCTACCATTCAGCTAGCCTTCCAGCTCACTCTAAGGTAAGGGCCCACCAGTGTGCTACCATTCAGTTTGACTTCCAGCTCCCTCTAAGGTAAGAGCCCACCAGTGTGCAGCCATTCAGCTAGCCTCCCAGCTCCCTCTAAGGTAAGAGCCCACCAGTGTGCTACCATTCAGCTAGACTTCCAGCTCCCTCTTAGGTAAGGGCCCACCAGTGTGTTACCATTCAGCTAGACTTCCAGATCCCTCTAAGGTAAGGGCACACCAGTGTGCTACCATTCAGTTTGACTTCCAGCCAGAGGCACATATTAGGTGCGGTAAAAAAATCGAAAATATGCGGTACCGCACCCGACTATCTTATCAAAAATAGGTCTGTTTATGTGTTACTGAGGGTGTAGTTCTTTACTAAGACCATGATTGAACCTATATCTCTATATTGAGATTCAGTTATCTGAGAACAGTGACTTGATCTGGTAGAGATCAGGAGACAGTTATTTGAAGACGCCTCTTGATAGAGTCGATCAGATCCGATGCCTGATCGCAAATATGTGACACGCTTGTTGGCATTGATCGTCAGTACTTGTAAACCATTTGATCCAAGATCCATTAAGCCCACTATAAAGCCAACGCTACAACGAATCGAGCTCATTACCCGATAAAAAGGGCTGCAGGTATGATCGAAGTTCGGTAACGACGAGGGTTCCATAACGGCCTGGGTCACGGTCCCGAAAGGGCCTGGGTAACGGTCCCGAAAGGGCCTGGGTCAGGGTCCCGAAAGGGCCTGGGTCACGTGGTAACTGGGTCACGTGGCCTAGGTAAGAGTTCCAAAAGGGCCTGGGTCACGGTCCCGAAAGGGCCTGGGTAACGGTCCCGAAAGGGCCTGGGTCAGGGTCCCGAAAGGGCCTGGGTCACGTGGTAACTGGGTCACGTGGCCTAGGTATGAGTTCCAAAAGGGCCTGGGTCACGGTCCCGAAAGGGCCTGGGTCAGGGTCCCGAAAGGGCCTGGGTCACGTGGTAACTGGGTCACGTGGCCTAGGCATGAGTTCCAGAAGGGCCTGGGTCACGGTCCCGAAAGGGCCTGGGTCACGTGGTAACTGGGTCACGTGGCCTAGGTATGAGTTCCAAAAGGGCCTGGGTCACGGTCCCGAAAGGGCCTGAGTCACGGTCCTAAAAGGGCCTGAGTCACGGTCCTAAAAGGGCCCGACTTTTAACATATTTTGGTTTTTACACTCGAAACTCTTAACGCGAAAATTTCAAAGTTATGCGAAATTACGCGGAAAATGCTAGATTATGCGGAAATATGCAGAAAATTACAAAATGTGCGGGAGTGTGCGGAAAACAATAAATTATGCGGAAATGTGCGGAAAACGGTAAATTGTGCGATCCCGCACCCATCGCACCTAATATGTGCCTCTGCTTCCAGCTCCCTCTAAGGTAAGAGCCCACCAGTGTGCAGCCATTCAGCTAGCCTCCACAGCTCCCTCTAAGGTAAGAGCCCACCAGTGTGCTACCATTCAGCTAGCCTTCCAGCTCCCTCTAAGGTAAGAGCCCACCAGTGTGCTACCATTCAGCTAGACTTCCAGCTCCCTCTAAGGTAAGAGCCCACCAGTGTGCTACCATTCAGCTAGACTTCCAGCTCCCTCTAAGGTAAGAGCCCACCAGTGTGCTACCATTCAGCTAGACTTCCAGCTCCCTCTAAGGTAAGAGCCCACCAGTGTGCTACCATTCAGCTAGCCTCCCAGCTCCCTCTAAGGTAAGAGCCCACCAGTGTGCTACCATTCAGCTAGACTTCCAGCTCCCTCTAAGGTAAGAGCCCACCAGTGTGCTACCATTCAGCTAGACTTCCAGCTCCCTCTAAGGTAAGAGCCCACCAGTGTGCTACCATTCAGCTAGACTTCCAGCTCCCTCTAAGGTAAGAGCCCACCAGTGTGCTACCATTCAGCTAGACTTCCAGCTCCCTCTAAGGTAAGAGCCCACCAGTGTGCTACCATTCAGCTAGACTTCCAGCTCCCTCTAAGGTAAGAGCCCACCAGTGTGCTACCATTCAGCTAGACTTCCAGCTCCCTCTAAGGTAAGAGCCCACCAGTGTGCTACCATTCAGCTAGACTTCCAGCTCCCTCTAAGGTAAGAGCCCACCAGTGTGCTACCATTCAGCTAGACTTCCAGCTCCCTCTAAGGTAAGAGCCCACCAGTGTGCTACCATTCAGCTAGACTTCCAGCTCCCTCTAAGGTAAGAGCCCACCAGTGTGCTACCATTCAGCTAGCCTTCCAGCTCCCTCTAAGGTAAGAGCCCACCAGTGTGCTACCATTCAGCTAGACTTCCAGCTCCCTCTAAGGTAAGAGCCCACCAGTGTGCTACCATTCAGCTAGACTTCCAGCTCCCTCTAAGGTAAGAGCCCACCAGTGTGCTACCATTCAGCTAGACTTCCAGCTCCCTCTAAGGTAAGAGCCCACCAGTGTGCTACCATTCAGCTAGACTTCCAGCTCCCTCTAAGGTAAGAGCCCACCAGTGTGCTACCATTCAGCTAGACTTCCAGCTCCCTCTAAGGTAAGAGCCCACCAGTGTGCTACCATTCAGCTAGACTTCCAGCTCCCTCTAAGGTAAGAGCCCACCAGTGTGCTATTATTCAGCTAGACTTCCAGCTCCCTCTAAGGTAAGAGCCCACCAGTGTGCTACCATTCAGCTAGACTTCCAGCTCCCTCTAAGGTAAGAGCCCACCAGTGTGCTATTATTCAGCTAGACTTCCAGCTCCCTCTAAGGTAAGAGCCCACCAGTGTGCTACCATTCAGCTAGACTTCCAGCTCCCTCTAAGGTAAGAGCCCACCAGTGTGCTACCATTCAGCTAGCCTCCAGCTCCCTCTAAGGTAAGAGCCCACCAGTGTGCTACCATTCAGCTAGACTTCCAGCTCCCTCTAAGATAAGAGCCCACCAGTGTGCTACCATTCAGCTAGACTTCCAGCTCCCTCTAAGGTAAATCATCGATTTTAACAGGGTTTATCTATATTTTCAGCATTTATGCAAAATATGTTGAATACGAATGAATATTGAATAGCATAGTACTATGTTGTATGTATACATTGCACTACAATGTAAATTTACAGAAGGGGTATCCTAAGAAGATTATTGATTTTTTGGCAGAATGTGGAAGCTCTACCCACTAGGCCAACTATACTAGGCCACCTAGCCACAAAAGCACTTTTACCAAATTTCTCGAGCCCCGCTGGTCTCCATATGCCGGGAATTGTTAGCTTCCCCGAAAGATTGTTAAACGAAGGTTTTACTCCACTTTTCTAATGGTTTATTTTGTCGTGATTTGCTTACTTTTTTATTACAGTCTAAATACATTGTCCCGGCAATATTAGCTATCTTTGATAAACATAATTAGTATCATTATAAATAGTATTAACGCTTTAACTTGTAAACTATTATAGAACCCTGCCATACTAGATGAAGGGAAAATAACGTAAATAAAAAGCCAGTTATGAGTATGACCCAAGTGTTTTAAGTGCGAACACTTATTATATAAAGTAGTTTACTGATTGGACTTGACGTGAAATCCTATTGATTGATTTATTGATTGAAAGCCCCTCGTAAGGGGATTGTCTCTAAGGACTAATTTATTCATATTGTTTACATCATTAGATTTAGCAGCAAAAACAATTAAAGAATTAAGAATTTCTATTGGACCTAGGGAGGCCGCTGATTTCGTGGATGAGAAATTTACTCGTGGACCACTCATTTACATTATCAACCCCCTTTGCAGCTTCAGTATTGCTCTCTTGCATTGTGATTTGAACGACGCCAGCGATTGGCATGACACTGAATTAAATACTTCGTCTATCGATGCGTCTAAAAACAGGAGTGGGCCGTTGAAGAATAATGAATTTCTATGTGTGGCAGTATTGCAATCATTGAACCACTCATAGTTTAAAGCCTCTGTGATAACTCCTGAGTTTCGAGACGGCATATTTTCGTGAATAGTTTTTGCACGGGTGGAGGGAGCTGATTAGGGATTTATGGAAAATTTTATTCATGAAGATAAGTGAATTCAATAAGATTATGCTGTGTATAATTAAGATCGAATGGCCGTTGAAAAAATATTTGGTGCCAGTAGAAGGTTTCCCATCTTTATAAAAATAATTCACAAATCCTGGGATTACGGCTATCGTAACTTTTTTTGTCGACGGAATAACTTATTCCCGATAAGCACTCAATTTTGGCCTTAGACGTGAAGCCCCAGACCAAGGATCAATAGATTAGGTGTGACTGAATAAAACTGTGGTAGATTTAAATTCTCACTTCTAAGGGAATGTATGATTTAATTTTGTACAGTATGCCAACATATCAGTGCTGCACGCCGCCGTTTTTTTTCAAAACTGCGGCGGCGTGGTTAAAATCGGCGGCGGCGTAATCGGCGTGAGTTCACGTGATTTCGCAGATTAAATTTTCCTTTAGAATAATACCATGTGGAGAGCAATTTTTAACAGTTTTGAATTTTGACACGAGGCTCGTAATATCTAGTAGACAGTAGTATATAGTATAAACAGTTTCACGCCGTGTACGCCGTTTAAAAACGGCGGCGGCGGCATGGCCGGGAAATCATCGGCGGCGGCGTGTAGCACTGCAACATATCGGGCCATTTTACACTTTAGAGCTTTTATGTGAGATGACCAAGATAATTTTTCATCAAGAATCACACCCAAGAACTAAGCCACACTTAAGCGCAAAATATTCACGTTCTTTATAATAACTGGGGAGAGATTAGGTATCTTCTGTCGGGAAAATATCATATAATTTGTTTTTTTGAGATTAATAAGTAAGCCATTGGCATCAATCCAGTTCAACAACGATTGGGACAGCAAATTTAGTTGAAAAAATACACTCTAGTAAAAGCCACACTCATCGAGCACTGATATGTCTTCAGTATGAATTGTCCCTCCTTTGATGTAGTGGTGCTTGTTTGGCTCAGCGTTCTTCTTCTTTTGCAAGTTTTGAACAAGAAGTCTATGGTAAACTCGATTAAACAAGGCGAGATAAGAATTAGAAAGCAGATAAGAGAGCGAATTAAACAAACGTATGCTATTAGTGTAGGGCTGAACCAAGAGTAGAGGTCCTAGGATGCTGCCTTGTGGTACTCCATACTCCATATCCCTGCACGAGGAGTCAGTGCAATTAACATAATGTTTCATATTTGTAGGGTATGACTTAAACCATTTATTAGCGATACCTCTTATCCCGTAATGATTAAGCTTGTTTAGAAGTATATCGTGATATACTATATCGAAAGCCTTAGAAAAGTCGATGAGGAGAAGAAGATCCATAAGTGCATGTTCACAAGATCTACCTGCCCTAAATCCATACTGCCGTTCGTATAAACTTGAATTTTGAGTCAAGAATTCAACAAGACTAGCGTGCATAACTTTTTCATAAATTTTGGAAAATGATGGAAAATAATTAGACACTTCTGTTTTGTTTCTGTATAGGAACAACTCTAGCAACTTTAAGTGTCAGTGGGAAAACTCCCTCTTGTAGCGATTGTGAGACCTAAATTATTTATAGATACATCATTAGGGAGCACCAACACAAATCTATATCCTGGAGTTTTTAATATGTTTTCAACGTCATTTTCACTAAGGTTATAGCTACATTTGTAGTGTTTAACTTGCCTACACATGTCGCATATTAGATTCTGACGAGATACCGAGCACTTATTACATTTGACCGTCTTGCTGGATGTTAGCACCAGGTTTGGTGTCTACTGTTAAATCACAATGCTGGCAAGCATAACCGTTGCCCTTATATTCACAACACTATTTACCCCCTATACTATTATATCCACTTTATTGTTTTCCAGGCATTAAGATTCATCGAAGGTAGTTCAGCAGGTATATTTAAGTTCAAAACATTCTAATTCAATGTTAAAAATGACAGGAATAAGAAATGGTTATGTGGAGGTTTTAAAGAAATTTGCGCAAAATACGCGCCAGCATGTTATACGAAATTAGGTAAAAAACCCAAAATCGCCATATTCAGGTGCCTTAAAAACCATGTTAAAATTGAGTTAGAGATCTGAAACTTTGCAGGGCGTCTAGACCTTGTCCAAATCGACTGTAAAAAAATTTTCATGTTTCAGGAGTATCGGGAAGTGGGTTTTCTGGAACCCCTGTTTTACAACAGATTGTCGTGAAGGATATATATATATGTATGTATAGACGCTTTGGCAGTCAATTGTAGCCTACGTTTAAGTGTCCGTAGATTCAAAAGTATAAAAGATACAGTCATTTGGAACCACAGGTTTTAAAGATAATTGTTTATACTTTAGTTTACATTATATCGAAAAATAATTTATCGTCATCATCATCACTTGATGACGTCATCAATTTAAGTGTTTTTAAAACTTGATTTTTGACAAAATAACAACTTTTCAAATCGATTTTAAACCATTAAGAAGTAATTTTATTCAAAATTTGAGGACATTTTCATCTTAGATAATTGTTCAAGCATTCTGAAAATCTACCGGAAAAGTTTCCTACCTTACTCCTTCATAAAGATATTTGCTATTGAAGTTAGTGCTTTTTTGAAGAATAATTTTATAAAAACACAAAAGTTGTGAATTAGTATTCTCTGATGTTGGACCATCCCTTGGGTTGTGGAGCTCAATTTTGCTTCTTAAAGGTCTAAATTGTGTTATAGGCTAGTTTTAAAGTTGAAAATCGAAAATTTGCACACGTGGGGACACGCCCAAATTGATTTAAAATAGCTTATATCACTGAAAATTGTTATTTTCACGATTTTTATCAACTTTGGAGTCCCGTTGTGATCCAAGTTCTTTTTGAAATCTTCTGAAACTTTGCATGCTTATCAAACTATATATTAAATACCACTATACAAAAATTTACGATGATTCAATATTGTATGCGCACGCAACGTCCGCTCAAAGTTTGCACGTGCGAAAGGTGAGAATTTTGCTCATTTGTGATTTCGAATATATTCTGCTTTCCCACGATATTTAAATGGCATTATATATGAATTAAATGCCAACTTGAATGAGTAAGAAGTGCCATATTCAGTCTGTTATCGACAGATATACCTACCTAAACACAAGGAAATGTTTTCAAAGGTAAAATTTCGAAATCGTTGAAATTACCTCCTTATTAATGAAGTTTCGACTGTGTAAATTATCCTGACATTATAATCAAAAAGAGATGATATTTGACCAAAACCCATAATCATGGGTAGAGTGAACCGCTGCCAGTGTCTCTCTTTTCCAAACAAAAGGAAATGATATTAATTTGAGGAACCGTCCGCAAATGCAAATTGATACCGAGAATGAAATCGGTCGCTCGCTTTTACCATTCATTCACGGCTTACGAATTGTAATAAAGCTTATTGAGTGGGAAAAGCGAGCGACCCATTTCATTCTCGGTATCAATTTGCATTTGCGGACGGTTCCTCAAATTAATATCATTTCCTTTTGTTTGGAAAAGAGAGACACTGGCAGCGGTTCACTCTACCCATGATTATGGGTTTTGGTCAAATTATTAATAGATAATAACCGTAACATGAGCTAAATGCTATGATGTGAAATAAAATAATAAGATAACTAAGTTAACGTGACGTAACGAGTTCCTGTATAATATAATTTAGAGTTTTTCTGTAACCTGCTAACGTAATCTAGCTTGTTACAACACAAGATAAAGTTGTGATAATTGATCATGTCGAAACCGGTTTTATCTAACAATTGACGAGTTTCCGAGGAATCTAGAAACTGGTCAAATCCACATACTTATGTTATTGTTTCCTTGCCAATATTTTTTTAAAACAAGACTTAGGACAGGTAAATTTTACAAGTTGTTGCGTTTATCACATCAGGAAGTGAAAAAAACGCACTGACCCAGGCCAGCTTAGAAAACCAGTTATGAACCAAAATAAAGTTTTGATAATTCTTGACCATATCAAACCGGTTCTATCTAACAATTGACGAGATTACGAGAAAATCTAGAAACTGGTCAAATCCACATACTTATGTTATTGTTTCCTTGCCAATATATTGTTAAAACAAGACAGGTAAATCTTACGAGTTGTTGCGTTTATCACCTCAGGAACTTAATAACACGTACTAACTCAGGTTTGAGCTGACGTATAACGCCCCTGACGGCACGGAGAAACGACCAGTTATTGTACACAGGGCTATACTGGGTTCTATTGAGAGGATGACCGGTATTCTGACCGAGCACTTTGCTGGAAAGTGGCCTTTCTGGCTCTCACCTAGACAGGTTTGATGTAGGGAAGATAGAATGGTGGGAATGTGGAGTTGCATACTGTGTAGGAGTGGAAATTATGTGAAATATCTGTTGAATATATAAGGTTAATGGTAATAGGTTGAAGAAATTGACCATTGTATGCTGATAGGCCTACTTCATCCGCAAACATTAACAACATCACTGCTCTATGAAGACTTAAAAGAGGTTTCGTTGCTTCGGTAATGGAAATTAATTAACCCTTCTAAAATTTGAGCCATTAAAATTAAATTCAACCGACTAAAATCCACCTTGATTACATCTCAAATATTTTGAATTTCTAAATTTGTAACCCCTCCGACAGGTGATGGTGGTACCAGTAATGCCCATGTTTAACGACTATGCTATAGAACTACAGAAGGAACTGAAGCTTCAAGGAATCGAAATAGACACTGATCTCGACGATGGGTCAGTTAAAAACGTGAAATTAGATCAGTTTAAATAGTAATAAACTTCAAAGTTAATTGAAAACTTCAAAGCTATAATATAATATAGAATACTTGGCAAGATAGATTGCTGCGATAGATTGCTGCGATAGATTGCTGCGATAGATTGCTGCGATAGATTGCTGCGATAGATTGCTGCGATAGATTGCTGAGATAGATTGCTGAGATAGATTGCTGCGATAGATTGCTGAGATAGATTGCTGAGATAGATTGCTGAGATAGATTGCTGCGATAGATTGCTGCGATAGATTGCTGCGATAGATTGCTGCGATAGATTGCTTTCTCTTTTAGATTTATTGTTTGACAGCTCTCAAACCACATAACCTGCCAAGATGTCTTTACCTTTAGTGCACCTGTTACCGGGGGGGGGGAGGAGGATCAGGTACTAAGTGTATGATTAGCCCCCCCCCCCCCCCCCCTTCCCCCCGCTGTTACCTTTATTAGCTTTTCCTGAAACAATCTGGGAGCCGGGAGAGTTCATGTATTTTATGTCAATTAATATTTTCTCTGCTCCAATACTCAAACAATTTCAGATCGACTCTGAATAAGAAGGTCCGGAATGCTCAGTTAGCTCAATACAACTTTATCTTCGTAATCGGTGAAAAAGAAAAGACCTCTGGTAAGTTTTATGAGCATGTTGTTAAATGCGAATGGGATGTTAACAAACGTTAAAACCCCAATTCAATTAACAAAATCGTTGAATCATATGTTGCTTTTGCTTGGGTTGATAATTGATATTTGATATAGCCAAATTGGGGAACATCGTCATCATTCTGTTGCAACACAAGAAGAGCGCCACACATAATCTCAGATATTAGTCTTTTGTTCCCTTTTTTTCCCCTGTTTTTTCTAAATAATTTCTAAACTACGGGAACTTTAATTCACTCTACAACGTAGTTAGTCACTCGTGTGATCGCCTGTCTAGGGAGGTGCCAAATTTAACATTATAAGCCTACACTAATTCCGATCTACACAGTGTGGCATATTTCTATTAAGAGTGCAGTGCCCTAGTGATCTGAGGGATTATTACCATTTTTTCCATATCTTTTTCAAATAATTTGTTAAGATTAAAATTTGTCATTAGAACCACCCGGGCCGGGCACCGTCCCGGTTTTCAATCAATCCCTCATTTTGAGTGGACAAACCGCCCGGCCCTGATATAACTAATAATAATCAGCAGAGTACAGACTGCAGATAATTGCACGATAGAATTACACATCCAGCAGTGGTGCTCAGTTTCCATATTTCCATGGGGCCGGGTGTGTAGTGTGGTGTTCAGTGACACACTTAGTTTACCGGGCATCCTTACACGTTGCATGTACACAATATGTTTCTTCCACTGAACGACAGCCTTTCTGTGTTCTTAGTTCCTTCCACCCCCTTTCCATGAACACCCCTCAGTGTACTTTGGACCCTTGCTCTCATAGAATTATGAGTTTTGAAGCTACTTGAGTTATTTTATTTCTGCCTAGACCTATCTTGTTCGAGCTTTTAGTCCTAGTAGGACGATTTCCCGGACCTGACGACCATACTTTTTGTGATACTTAGACAATGGTTAAAATGGTGTAACAATCTGTTTTGCAGGTTTGCGTTTAGCTATTACAGATAAGTTTAATGGTTTCTTATCTTAAACATTTTACACAGTTGATTATTAAATTACAGGATTGCGGACCACCTTTGTTTTCTGTTTATTCGCTATTTTGTTGGTGGCTATGCCTTCTGGTATCCACCATAAGTCATGACACATAATATTTCCCAAAATTTGAGTTTAACCGGGTTCGGAACGTGACGTTCCTGAAAATCATATCAAAAGAATTTTCGAACATCCCACCGAATCAGGAAATGATAGTTCACAGGTATAGTGAGATAACTGATCTTCTTGTACCCCCGTACTTAGTGCTGTATGCGTGATGTTGTTTATTAAACGTACTCCCCTCGCACAGGTACAGTGAACGTACGTACTCGTGATAACGTAGTTCACGGAGAGTTCAGTGTGGAGGATATCACTGAGAAACTGATACGATTACGGGATAGCAAGTCTAATGAGGACAAACTCGAGTAGCGTTGTAATGTGACGTCATCAGCGGTTCTGTGACGTCATCAGCGGTTCTGTGACGTCATCAGCGGTTCTGTGACGTCATCAGCGGTTCTGTGACGTCATCAGTGATTCTGTGACGTATTCAGTGATTCTGTGACGTCATCAGTGATTCTGTGACGTCTTCAGTGTATCTGTGACGTCGACGTCCAGAGACCAGACGCGATTTGCGATCTTGTTTTATTTTTCTTATGTTTAGGTCTATTATTTAGTTTTATTTGACCCTCCGAAAATTGAAATTGTATCACTGCTTTTCATCGAATTCAGCAAGAAACGAATCGCAATGCAGAAAAAATTCAAAATCATATCAGTACTTTGAAAATTTCAAAGTTTTGTTTTCATTTCTATTTTAACTAATTAATTTTAATAAAATCAGCTTTAAAATCCGAATCACTAATATCTCTCCCTTGCAAAAGCAATGAGTAGGTGGGTCACAATACCCATCTTTCTCTTCCTCTTCCTGGATTGGGTCAAGGCCAACAGCTGCGAAGAGAGCGGCTTCACTTCCGGTCTTTTGTGCTCCTCTTGCGATAAGCTCGCCGACAACAATCTCGACCTTCTCGAAGGATCGGTAAGTTTGTGGTGTGACGTTACGCGAAGGAGATTGTGTGCGTTTTCTTGGTTTGATTAATATTATGTAGCAGCTATTGTAAAAATAATCTATTACAGAATTTATAAACCCATGAAAGGAAATATTGTAGTTATTCCAATTTCAATCGCAGTGCCACGCTTGCTGTGAGAAGGATCAGGTAGAAGATGCTGTGGTCAAGTACTCTTCTGCTCTCCTCAAGGTCTGCGGATGAAAATTAGGTCGTTTCCCTCAAATTAAGGTACGTGAATATACAATTGATAATATTATGTATAGATGTAACGTCTAATTACGATGCAATTTTTTAAATAGTGTTATTGCTCAGCAATCAGCGCTATTGGTTCCCGGAAATAACACCTGCACCTTGCAGGCATTTGTAACAGAAGAAAAGAAAGAACACAAGTACGCGAACCTAGTTATCGAGTACGCGCGCGGAGCGTCCCCCACCCTGATCCTCAAAGATGGGGAGGGAGAGGATGTGGAGTCCCTGTCTATTGACAAGTGGGATACGGACACCATCAGAGAGTATCTCACTGAACATCTCCAAGCTTAGACGAGTGAAGGACTGTGTCACGTGTGTGGCAGATTGGCGTGACGACCGAGTCGTGTGACGTCACCACCGAGTCGTGTGCCGTCACCACCGAGTCGTGTGACGTCGCGTGAGTTATAGATTGAAGCTCTCAAGGCCAACTAGATTTTCTTTATGATGGCTTTTGCCGGTGTAAATTGATTGATGATGATGATAAACTATAAATTTGTTATAAAATTTAATGGGTTTTTAAAAATTTATTTTTCGTAGTAAATTTATATTACTGTACTAGTTCAGTTGCATTTCTATTTTGATGACTTAATGACAGATCGTGTGCATTTTATTACGCACTTAAATACATTCAAGTTTAACCAACCTTTATAATGTTTGGGATATCTTACATTCTTTTTTAGACTTCCATTTTAGGAATTCTGATGAACAGGTTCTAATTAAATGCCTTTGAGGGAAGGCAGAAAGAGTTTGACCAACTCAGAACTTCAGCATTTTAGAATTTGACCTTTTCTAGAATGCTGCTTCAGCTGTGTATGACAACGATTAGTGAAACTGTTTCAGAGCTATTGGTTTGATAGCAGCTGTTGTTAAAACTCATCATTATTACTTTTTAAAAGTCTGAAAGAGTGTTTTGGTTTTATGGTTTTGAAGGTGCGCCTATTATTGATTATCAATTATTCAAACTGAAAAATAACAAAATAATAATAGAAATGAAAGAAAAAAATAACAAATAGAAAGAAAACTTCTTGCTTCCAGCGACATAACTATAAGTATAAGAGCTCATTTTATTAATTTACGCCGATAAGCTGCGCGACTATATTCGGCATTTGTGCCCTTAAGCTGTTTAGTAGTAAATCACACTTACAGCGTACGTAATCGAACTGATGTGGCAAGTTAAGTAAGTTGGGCGTACCCATACCCTAACTACGGCCATGTACAACTACAGTTATTTAGTCCTAACGAAAAAAAGGTGAAACAAATACAAAAATGATCGAACGAGAAGTAGTGTTCCGAAATCCGATGTGGATGTCAGATTGCAGATGTAAAAAACGTCAAAGAGAGAAGATCAATAATGTCTCACTATCTTACTTACTGTGCGGCGCTCAGCCTGTCATTCCACCGAATCTCTATTCGGCGTTCATGAACATGATAGCCTGAGGTCACCAGGTAATATTTTACTATCATGTATCAGAAACAGAAAAGGAGAGTAGTGTGTTTCAACAATTTGGTCGTATCAGCACTCAGAAGTATCTCTGATACAACTTAACTGTAACAACATAAACAATAACAACGCAATAGCGAGGAGTAAAGAGTCTGTCCCACTTGTAATTGTATCACGTCATGACCCCCATGCATTTTCGTTTCACTAACTTTTCCTAAAATTGCACGAGAAATCGATTAAACTTGGTTTCAGAGCTCAACAATGCTTCCTTATGCCTTAAAATCCATGTTTTATCGATACAATCAACATTATTCACCTAACCATGTACTTTTGCGCCACTCCGGGCGCGCTTGTTTCACAAGTCAAGAAAATGACAAAGGTGGTAGCTTAGCTTAAAATCTTTTGGAGTAAAGTATCTATAATCAATAATTTAACACAAAAGAATTTAACACGAAAAAAAAAGTTTGAGTGTTTTCGAGAATCATGGGCATTCGGCAGTGTAAAGAAACAATGCAGTACAACTAAGTGATCTTTCTGAAAATTTGATAATATTAATCTCAAATATTATCCAACGAGAAATTTGTTAACGGGTGATACTCGTAAAATATCTGTTCCGTATATTAGGACCGTCGACGAGTACAACTCGGCGTGCGTCCTGGTAGGTAAACCTACAAGAAATTTGTCGAACAAAACGGCTAACAAATTTGAAATGACTAAAACGCCACGTGGGGTGTCGGATATGAGGACTAAAGCGTGGGAAATTTTGGCTCCCTATATATGGGTGCCAAAATCGTTGGGTGGGTTGATGGCTAGAGCCGTGAGGCGGGCACGCGCGCGCCGCCGCCACTGCTAGCGCAAGGGCTCTGGATAGAGCAATCAACATTATGATCCTGTTGATTAATTAGTATTAGTAACAGGTAACAAATACGCAAAAACAATCATCAGACCTACATTGCATTCTTAACAATAACGGGTCGATTTCGAGTGACCAATAATCGTCGTGATGATACGTCATGTGTTCCTGATAATCATAAGCAATCAAGAAACAGGAGCGGCAAGGTCAAAAGGAAATCGCGGCACGTGCAGAATCGCGATTTTTCCCATTCCCTGCGACGAATCGCGATTTTTGACGTTTGCCGAGACAAATAGATCTTCGCGACAAATTACGATTATTCCATTTTCTGAGGCCGACCCAGAAACCCTTACTGGCCAGGGCCTAACTTCAAAATTAAAAGAGATATTCAACTTCCGGTTTTTTGCAACATGTTCGTCTTGTAAAATTAAGGTTTCCCCCAGAGGGAACATTTAAAACAACGTAGATTTGGACCCAGAAAACTTTACCGGTAGGGGCCTAACTTCGGAAGTGAAAGAGATAGAAAGTTTTGGGTTTTCAACAGAATGTTCGTCTCGTAAAACTAAAAGTAAAGTTAGCTCCCCGGCCTTGTATCACGTGGTGACCCCCACGGTCGCTTCACTATAGCGTCTTCCTGTAGCGTCTTCGACGCTACAGGGGGAGCCGCGCACTTCGTGCGCGGCGGGTCATACAACGTATGACAACCCCGGCCCAGGACAGGAGCACAATTTGGGACAACGTAGATTTTGAATTATCCTGAAAAGTACAGTATGATTTTGGACCAAATTAAAGATCGCAGCTTTTTAACTTTGCAAATTAATTTGGTTGCCATGACTCCATGGCTGAGCCTGAATTGTGAATAATCCAGATTCAAGATTGTAATTCACGCGTGCGATCAGTGAACATTACGTCACGCGCACTGACACGCGTGATATTGAAAAACGACCACCTCTAGTGTTTAGTAAAACTGCCAGCTGTTGATTGAAGATATCAATCCGTCGAGATCGTTGCTCTGCAAAGCAGAGCAACGATCGACGAAGAATGCTAGTTTGCGCGGCGCGTCGAAGCGGCGAAGTCCTCCAATGCCAGCTGGTAACTTTTGCTGGGTTAGGGTATATCAAGTCGCATGACTGATGACTGCAGGTGACAAAATACCCTATTAGAGCTAGAACAGGCCAAACACAACTCCCATATCCATCAAATTTTTCGGACAGTTGTAAAAGCCCTATTGGAAGGTTCATGTCGCTAATTTTCAAAATGATCTCATTCAAGGAACCGAAGATTTATCCGAATAATACGACAAAAATCAACGAATTTTGTCAAATTACGTGATTTTTACAATTATTTATCAAAATGGGGCAAAATACGCTGCTTTTAGCTGTAACATAATGTCTGATGGTTGGATATGCTTCACATTTTTCGGACACTTTCCTTGTAAGTCTATGAATAAGCTCACCAATTTTTGTTGCAATTTAAGGTCGGGAAGGATACTTAATATTTATTTGTTTGAAGAAAATTGTGCTGGCCGAAATTAGCGCTAAAAAACCATTATACAGTCGGCACGCGCGGCTCACTGTCGATGGCGCACTACCTAATGTCAATTCATCGGAGCTCGGCGCGGCACAGTTATAAGTAGCGCATATCTCGCCGATCGAGCGAGAGAAGCCTCATTAAGTGCGCGGCACGGCACAGTAACGCATCGCGATACAAGTTACCTTGTAGCGCAATGCACTACTGGGTCGCGCGCATCAAATAATGCTTCTCGCAACCACGTATGCAGATCGGCGAGATGCAAAGGATTGACATCGTGAATCAACAAGTTACCTGTTGACGGATGTTACTCGTCTAAATTTCTTCGAAGTAGCGCGCGCCGCTTTCTTCTCGAAATATTGGCCCGACGGCAAGTGCTTTGCTCTAACCAGAGCCCTCTCGCTTGCAGTAGCGCGCGACCGCCGTGTGAAACAAGCGCCGTGTGAAACAAGCGCGTCACGCAGTACGCGTAGACACATGGCTATGTGAAGCAAGTGCTACGAAGTAGCGCGCGCCGGGCCAGACCATTAACAATGGCTTGGTCAAGTTACCTGGGGACCTCAGGCTATTATGTTCAAAAACGAATAGAGATTCGGTGGAATGACAGGCTGAGCGCGGCCCAGTAAGCTACAAGAAATAAAAATACTCATACATAGAGGCCGCAGAATTATGAGGACAACCAGATCCTGGTGGAACCTAAGCGATCCATGATATTTTGGAGGACTTCGCCGCTTCGACGCGCCGCGCGAACTAGCATTCTTGCTTCGCATCGAATTCTTGCTTCGCATCAAATGCTTCGATCGTTGCTCTGCTTCGCAGAGCAACGATCTCGACGGATTGACATCGTCAAATAACATGATATCATGTTAGGTCCAAGCAATAAGGTTAAAATGCTCCCCTGACGAGATATTGCAGCAAAAAAACTGTCTCGATCACGTGATATGAGCGTATAAGACAATTAGTATAATTTCTCGTTAGGGTTACTGTTAGGGTTTCAGCATATATGCTTTTGTTGAGGATTGTGTTAGGGTTACGGTTGGGATCAAATTAAAGGGTTATGGTTTCGAATTGTAGCGCGATGCACTACTGGGTCGCGCGCGCATCAAATAATGCTTCTCGCAACCACAAATCGGCAACCACAGATCGGCGAGATGCGAAGGATTGACATCGTGAATCAAGGTTTCGAATAGTCGTTCAGGACCAGCTAACGAACGGGTTGAAAAACAAAAAAGTCACGTGGCAATCGAGTGTAGATCAAAGTGATTAATCATTATCCTCATGCACGGTTTCATTAATAATTAATATAAAATTAAATGAAATGAAATGAGGATCGCGACGTGAGACACTGCAACAAGCTAAATGCAAATAAAACTTTATGATTTAGTAAAAAATGTTATAAAAACCTTACTATCAAACTTTAAACAAATCCAAAGTAGTTACTAAGAACATCCTAAAGACCTGATATGTGATAAGTCTACTTAAAAGACTTGCAGAACTAAAAACTAAAAACCTAAACAAATAATAAAAAAATCGCAACACGAGACTAGTTATTTTGCTTTTTAAACTTCGATAATAAAGCTATCGTTGTTTAAATTTTATACAACTGCAGCCATGTTATAAATATAAAGATATTATCTAACTTGCTAGTAGCTATTGCTCGCTTCTCTCAGGAAGCTTGAAAAGAGCACCGCACAGAAACTGGCGTGCCAGGTAAATTAAGTTATTGTTTTAAAAATTTAGATTTTCAACAGTTTATTATATTTCCGCGTATTTTAATTTGCTCAGGTAGTTGTACTCTTATCAGCCAAATGTTTATATTACTGTATTTGTGATTTGGCTGATGACCAGAATATTTTTCCAGTTATACTTATATAACAGCAACTTTATAATTATAGTTGGGTCCATGCCGGGAATACAATAATCACAGTGCTGGCAAGCACGAGCGGTGTCTTTATTGGGGGTATACTATGTACCCCCTTTACTATTGTACTCCCTTTACTTTTATACCCCCTTTACTATTATAACCCCTTTACACCCCCTTTGGTACACGTCGGAAGCCTCTTTCGTGCACGCGAAGCGTGCACTCCGGCCGGAGGCGGCGGCCG